GCCCTACAGCACGAAGGCAGTTGCTAACTGAAAGATTAGCACTTTGAACCCATCCAGCTGCATCACAGGAGGGAGGCCTGCCAACCTGCTTCTGTGCAAGGATTGCAGCCACTAAAGCTCACGGGAGTTTACTTCCACTCCGTGGCACACGAGGCCCCTAACAGCTGCTTATCTGTGTGTGTGTGTGTGTGTGTGTGTGTGTGTATGTGTGTGTGGTGTCCTCAAATCTGTCTGAATGGCACCTCCTTCGGTGATGCTACTGTGCAGTCTGCAACCGGCACCACTGTTCTTGGTGGCCCTGCACGCCCGACTTCCGGGCCCAGATGCACTTTCCATAAGAGACTTTTCTACGGAGGCTACCCAGAGTGGATTCTGGCCCGTGATGAGTTTCACGCAGGCCACTGGGGGTTCAGAACCGGATGACGCAATGAAAGGACAAGGCGTCAGAGAAGGCTTAAAGGCACCCATGCAACTTAGAAGGCTTGCGCCTAATTGATCGGGGTTTTTTTTTTAGGGGAACCCAAAGAAAGGGATTGACTCACTCTGATTCCCTATTCTAGAAACAGATTTTTGGGGTCTCGTTGTTTTGCTTTTAGGATCAGAGTTCTGGGTTTGAGGAAGAAAAAGAGGGTGCACACTATCAAAGTCCCTGCAGGGAGACCTGAGGGGCCTGGCATTGTGGGGCTGCTCGCCCACGGCCCCGGGGTCTTTGGTTGTTACAGGGCGATACCGTCACCCCGTGTGCCGGTGAGCGCGCGTGCGCGCCCACGCCTGTGGGTGTGTCTGCCTGGCCAGGCCTGCGGGGTGCAGCAGGGGGGCCCAGGGTGTGGCCAGGAGGAGGGCTCCCCGGGGAATGCTCCCCCATCAATTGCTGGAAAGGCGTGTCTGACGCAGTCTTCGGTGATGCCAACCCGAAGGGGGGGAGGTCGTGCTCTGGCTTCCCAAATCCCTGTGCCCTCGTGCGCCCCAGGCAGGGAGGGGTGAGAGGTACGGTGGGTGGGGTCTGTGGTGGAGGCCACGCCCACTGGTCTGATGTCCCAGCTCCGGTGGGTGGACCGTAGGCTCTCCCGTGGCATAGTGGGTTATGCATTGGGCTAACTCCAAGTTAGCAGTTCGAAGCCACCAGCCTCTTCCCAAGAGAAAGTAAAAGATTTACTGTAAAGATTTACAGCTTCAGAAACCCAAAGGGGCAGTGCTACTCTGTCCTATACGTGGGAACTGATTTGAGCGCAGTGAGGTTTTGGTGGTGTTGGTTTGTTTCGGTGTTGTTTCAGTTTTCTGCGCAAATCTTGTTGCTGCCTGAGTCCTGATGTCGCTCTGGCTGGCCCTTTCTTTCTGCATTGACCCAAGAGTAGGGCTGCAGTGGTCAGGAGAGGGCGCCCACGAGTCACACACGCCCTCTCATTCCAGGCAGGGTCTGTTCTGAGTAGGCATGGACCAAGGTGGGGGACACAGGACAGCGGGGCACCGCATACTGCAGGGAAGGTGGGGGAGGAGAGGCACAGGAGAAGGGCACGGGGTGAGCTGTGAGTCACTGGACACAATCCCGGAGTCCAGTTGGTCCCAGGATGTCCCCGGGTAGTGGTGGTGTCTGAGACCTCTGCTACATCTCGCTGCCCTAAGCTGAACGGCTGTGGGCTTTTCAGATGAGGTAGCCCGTGCCGACCACGGCATCTCTGCCCTCGGCTCAGCCACACATCGAGCTCTGACTCTATGGAAGGCCAAAGCTGCTGCGGGCTTTCAAAAGGATCAGCCCACGCAGGTGGGGTTGCCTGGCCTTGCCCTTTAGAGGAGATGCCCGCCCTCTCCTCCACACTGTGCCAAGCTGCCACAAGGCAGTGAGCAGTGAGCCTAGAGAGCTCTTAGGGAGGGAGAGGGGGTGTTGGTGGGTGTGAGCTGGCACATCCTCAGTAAGGGGCATAAGAGAGAGGTCTTAGTTGAGAGGCAGATGTACTCCCTACTGGTTTGCAACTGTTCCTATTACACATTCAGGGTCGTAGAACAAGTACCAGGGCCTTTATTACCCAGAATCCTCTTTCTTTAGCTCCAAGTTGCTGTTGGCCAAATGGGGTGATTCCCCCCCAAGTGGTGGTGAATTCCCCACCCTTGTTCGCTTACACCTTCTCTCCCTGGCCCACCCTTTCCTCCCAAGAGATGGAAGAGATCCAAGGGGGAGTCCTGCAAATGCTCTCTCCCCCCCAGCCTTCTTCAGAGGCGATTGTTGGACCCTCCCAGTGACTGGGAGCTCACTCCCTCACAGGGACCCCCGTCTTCTTTAGGGCAACGTTAGCTATTGGGTGTTCTTGTCCTGGTGTGGGGCACCCAGCTGCTTCCTAGAATCTATTGGTCCCAGGCAGCCAAGCTTTAGGCAAAACCCTTCCTCTGCCCAACAGACCCTCCCCCTTTCAGGAGTCCCTTTGCCATGCATCCCCCAAACCTTGTCCTCTAGATGAGCTGCATGTTTCTTGGGTCCTCATTCCTTCACTCCCCCTTCACCACACAGACAATTGACTCCTTTGTCGTCAGCATCTCAGCTCTCTGAGCATTTTGGGGTTGGAGGGAGCAAGCTGTGCCCCCAGGGCCTCACGGAGTACCACCTGGTCAGGACTGGAAGCTTTCAGTCACACATGGGGTTTCTACCTGTGGCCCCAGGGCACACTGGCCCCAGAATAAGGAACAGATGATTCCTGGAGTCCTGAATGGAACGGAAGGGCCTCCTCAGACTTTCTGGCTTTGTGTTTCTGGCACTGGATGCCAACCCCCAAGTCTTTAGCCACGCACTGGGCTCTCAGTGCTGCCATGTCGCTAAGCAACACTCTGATTTCACGGGAAGAGCGTGGGGACAAGGAAAAATAATTTAACTGGTGAGTAGTTACGTGCACATATATATTTACAGTATATGTATTATAAGGAGCCCTGGTGGAGTAGGGGTGATACACTGGGCTGTGATCCACAAGGTCAGCAGTTTGAAACCACCAGCTGCTCTGGAGAGGAAGACAGGGCTTTCTACTCCGTAAAGAGTTAGTCTTGAAAATTCAGCCTTGTCCTATAGGGCCACCATGAGTCGGCATTGACAATGAGCTTAGTGGTTTTGTTTTGAAATTGTACTATGTCTGTAGAAGCTTCAGTCTCACAGCCCAAATATGAGACGTCACGTGTGATTGAAAGCTTCCAGTCCTGATGGGGTCTTACCCCACAGGCTTATTTCAGTCACGCAGAGGTCAGCAGCCCCTGGCCCCACCGGCTGGTCCCTCTGCTAAAGGGCGGGTGGGCAGAGAACTTAGAGCTCTGTGGTGCTGTCCTCTCTTATCAGAGACACGGAAAGTGGGGACCAGAGTGGAGGTGGTTAGTTTGAGGACACACAGCTCAGAGGCTTTGAAGCCCAGCTCTCTTCTGGCCCTCCTCCCGAGAAACGCTGTACCGGCCTTATGGGAGGGCTCACTGTGGAAAGAAAGGGATGGAAAGTGGGCCACAGGCTTACGCCTCAGAGAAAACGCCATTCAGAAGGGAATGTTACTCAAAGGGCCCGTGCCCTGGCTTCTGGGGAGAGGCGATTCCAGCCAAAGCAGGAGGGAATGCTGCCTGGCCTCTTTCAGAGCCTGCTAGCTCTGAGGAAAAAGGCTTGGTGAAAAAGGTGAAGTCCAACTGCAGTGCTGGAGAAGGACAGGAGGGAGGCCCAGCTAGGGGCCAGGCCGGAGGAGGCAGCTCCGAGTGCCAGGCCAGGGAACTGGAAGGGCCAGCCGTATTCAGAGGCAGCCTCCCGGCCACTTCCCTTGCTCCCACACCGCGGACTTGCCCATGTTCCTGCCCACACACCTGGCGCTCAGCTCGCCAACTCCTCAAAGTTCCGGATTCAACCCGGTCTCCTGAAGCTCTGGCTGAAGGGTCCTTGCCAGTAGCCCCGCTGATTCCCACTCCCCATGCCAGAGTCAAACGGTGGCTTCCAACAGTTGCCAATGACAACTTTCACAAGCAGCTCCCAAGGTCATCTGAGGGACCTGGGGGGAGATTCGAACCGCCAACCTTCCAGTTAGCCAGGCATCCCACCCAGGGACAAATGTAAGAGACTAAGGGAGCCCTGGTGTCACACTAGTGAACATGCTAACTAAAAGGTGAGGGGCTGGAACCCCCCCAGCTGCACTGTGGGAGGAAGAGGCAGCAGTCTGGGTCCAGAAAGACTTGCAGCCGTGGAAACCATGCGAGGCAGTTCTGTTGTCCTGAAGGGTCACTTTGCAGTGGAGTCGGTCCAACCAACAGCAGTGGGTTTGGCCAGGGATAAAGACATGAGCACCCCACCGCACAACCACCGGTGGCCGCCGGACTGAGAACAGGAAAGAGGAGCGTCAGCCTTCTCCAGGGAATTCAATGACCCCCAGGTTTTTTTGGACTTCAAACGCTAGTCTTCAAATGATTCAGTATGGATTGGATGCTGATGGGCTTCTGGGGTGTTGTTTGAAAAGGTGTCTATGGCATTGTGGTACGTTTATGACACCCAGGGGGCCAAACCTGCAGTGGGAAAGGGCTAGAGCCTGGCTGGCTGCCGCCCTGCTGCCCTCCGGCAGTCACAGCTGACAAACGGCGACTCTCGATCTAATGTAATCAAGTCAGTGAATACTGTTTAATAAATAGGCCAGAAAATCAGCGGAGAGCTTGTCTCGGCAGGATGCGGCGTGCGACCAAAGTTGATGGGAGATTGTCCCTTGAATCGCTAAGGCAAACTGTTGAGCATCGTTTTTACATAGAGCAACCACATGAAAAAGTCATAAATAGAAAAAAATCCCAACGTTCTCCCACAGGAAGACAGGGAAATTGAAACAGAAACAAAAAAATTTAAAATAAACCCACAATTACCCAATCACTTCCCCCCACCCCCGCCCCAATCCATTTGCTTCAAGTTCTTCTTGATCATACAGTACTTTCGCATCTCTGGATATTTTACAACGTCCAACCCCAAATCGCAGTCAAGAAAACAAACCAAAACAAAGGAAAGAACTACCTAGTCATCTGAAAATTTGAGTTTATAAGAAGTCATAACCTTTACAAAAGAAAACAAAAGCCCCAATACCGATGGATTCCAATTTGTTCCACCCCCCCACCCCTTTAAATTCTGGAGTAGGGAGGGGGGTATGAGCGACGGTGGGTCCCAGAAGCAAGTGTCTGAAGTGCAACTGGAGAGGCAGATGCCTTGCACGCAGAGCAGGTCCGCCTGACTGGAAGGGCATCATCAGGTGGGCCCGCACCGAGTGGCCAGGGATCTGCTCCGGGGAGCGGAGAGAGGAAGAGAGTCTGTGGTCTTCTCAGGCCTTTTTGTTCTGTACTTTTCCTTCTTCTTCAGTTAAAAAGCCAAGGCAACAAGAAGAGCAGGAGGTTCTGCGGTGGGGACACCCGTGTGGATGGACTTTAGCACAAACCCTCCTCACCACCGGGGAACTGGGCCACAGGAAGGCGAGAAGGGAGGGAAAGGGAGTGGGGGCAGGAAGGCAGAGGCTGCGGAGTTGGCTAACTATCCACTAAGCCCTTCCTACTACGCACTGCAGCCCAAAGCTTGGGCCATCGTGCGCAAAGCCCCCTAGCCAAACGTGGAGCTAAGTGCCCCTTGCGCATCCCAGGGGGAGAGGGTGTTCAAACACAAAAAGGGGGCAACGGCCAGCGATGCCAAGCAGAGGCCTACCTAGGGCGGGTATGGTGCAGGCCTTGGGGGCCACCTCAGGGAGGCGCCAGTGAGCAGTTTAGAATTTGCCATCCCCGTTTCCAAGGCCCACTGGGGTGATCCTTTAGCAGGCTGAAAGAATTACCACGGGTGCTGTTTCCGTAGAGAGGCCTCTGCTGCCAAGGCCCCGAGAAAGCTACAACCGGAAACGCAAACAGAAGAAAATCCTGGGGAGCCAGGTGTTTGGTCAGCTGTTCAGGAATCAGGGTGGAGGGAGGCAGTGCTACGTGAGGTCGGGGCCCCTGGAGTCCCAAGAGACTCCGTGTATAGAGGTGGGGCAGACCCCCGGAGGGTGTTCCCCAGGCTTGCAGACACACACCGTGGCCTGCTGGGAAAGTGGGTGGTTGGGATCCCCACCCTTGTCTCTTGGGTCCTCTCCATCTAGTTTGGCCACGTTTCTTAAAGCGGCTAATGTACAAGTGCACGGGCATGGTGACAGAGACAGGTGGTCACTAGCGGCTTCTGGAGTGCCAAGCTGCTCCCCTCCTGAGAACTTGCTTTGGCGAGGGGTGTGCGTATGTGTGTTTGTGCGCGTATGTCCCCTTTCCCAGCAGGATGAAACCGAGGCACAGAGGGCGGCGTGGTGGGTCACGGGCAGAGGACAGGGTGAGGGGTGGGGTGGGCATTTCCCCAAAGGATCCGGGGCCCCTACTAGAAACTAGCGCAGTTAAGAGCAGTGTGGGAGGGGCTTCCCAAGGGGCAGTGGTGCTCCACCAGGAAGCCCCGCTCACTAACTCCTGCCCCTCCAGGGCCCCAGCCCCCACCCTGCTCTTGGCCTCTGCTCTGTGGACGGGACTCCTGGACCAGGGGCAGGAGGGGAGGGGGAAACTGTTGCAGCCACTCAGCTCTGCACTGGGTCCCCTTTTGTTACTGAAACGGACAGTTCGCACCCTCCGGTGGGCCTTGGTTAGGCCCAGGTTGGGGGCGAGGGCGGGCCCAGCCTGGCCTAGTTGTTGGCTTCAGACATGGAGGCCACATGGTTGAGGCCGGCCAGCCCTGGGAGGCCTGCCAGGCCCGCAGCCCAGGGGTCGGGCAGCGGGAAGTAGGGTCGCGTGGCTGCGGCCACGTTTTCGGCCAGCGCGAAGGCCAGGAGGCCCCCCGCATTCCTCTCGGCCTCCAGCTGCGCGCGCCCCAACAGCTTCATCTGGGTCTCCTCGAACTGCCGCTCCAGCTCTTGCAGGCTCAGGGCGCCCTTGGGCGCCGTCAGGAAGTGCTTAGCCGGGCTGGGGCCAGGCAGGCACATGGCGCTGCCTCCCAGGTGGCCGCCCACGTCGCCTAGCGCTGGGGGCATGACGAAGGCCGCCTTGTCGGGGGCCGGGCCGCCGGGCCCAAAGAGCAGGCTGGCAGCCCTCCAGGCGGCTGGCTTGCGGCCGCGCCGGGGCCGCGCCATGCGGCAGCTCTGGCGCTTGATGTGGCGGTGCAGGTGGTCGGAGCGCGTGAAGCTCTTGTAGCAGAACTCGCACTGGTAGGGCCGCACGCCCGTGTGGATGCGCATGTGGTTCTTGAGGTCGTAGTTGTGCACGAACTTGGCGTTGCAGTGGATGCACAGGTAGGGCCGCTCTCCCGTGTGTTTCCGCATGTGGATCTTCAGCTTGTCCTGCCTGCGAAGCAGAGACCCCAGTCAGTCCTGCAAGGAATCCGGGGGCCACTCCCAAATGCTCCTCTAGAACCTGCTGGGGCTCCCTAGGGGTCAATTCCAGGAACGGGGCGTGCTCAGTTCTGCTGCTGCACTATCTCAGGGTAGGGCTGAAGGGAGTCAAGGAGGGGCAGGGTCTGAAAGGCCTCTGCACCCCAAAACCAAATTCCTACCATCACTGAGAATGCTGACTCCTAGTGACCCTGTAGGGCGGGGTAGAACGGCCCCTGTGAGTTCCGGAGGCTGTCACTCTTGGGAGTGGAGTAAAAAGGGCCTCTTTCTCCTGCAGAATGGCTCATGGATACAAACTACGGACCTTAGAGTTAGCAGTCCAATGCGTAACCACTCACCACGCCAGGGCTCCGCTCTGCACCCCCGAACCTCTAGAATCACTCTGCCGCTTTATAACAGAGACCTGTCTCACAGACTGGCATGGGGCTGCATGTCCCCTGGATCATTGGTTTCTTTTGTCCTTCAATGTCCTTCCATGGTGCTGGACCCATTTATACAGGTGGCACTTGAATAACCAGCCCACACCCTCTTGCCCAGAGCAGGAGACCCCATTCCCATCTGGGGCCCCATCTCGCTGCCAGGGCTGCGGAGTCCACTAATCTGGGCACTAATCTGGGCGTATGGAGGCTGGGCCAGCCAGGCTCAGTCCCTGCACGGTGGTTTCTCAGCCTAAGCCCTGGCTCTCTTCTTTGTCTGCAGACAAGCTCGGGGTTTACAAAAGATCCAGGTGCAGCAGGAATGCCGCCTAATCTAGGGCCAAGCGTTTGCTGGTGTCAGCAGTATTAGTCAGAGGAAAGGCATGGGATAGGGGTGGGGCCCATTGGGGGTCTGGGAGCTCCTGCTTCAGCTGCAGGCCCACCACTAATGTGCTAGGTGTCTTTATGCAAGTCACTCAGCAGTGAGATGAGCCTGGGGCCAGTCAAGCATTCTCACTACCCAGAGCAGAGGGTGAGAACCTGGGCTAGTGGGAGTCACATTCAACACACCTCCCTGGGAGCTTGAAAGGAAGAGTGACGTGAGAGGGCTGTTTTCACCACAGACCACCTTAGGGGGCCTCTGAGCTCTGCTGAGGAAATGAACTAGCCAGCTGAGAGAATTCCCCGCTGCTCTCTCCCCATCATTCTGCTCCCCAAGCGCTTTCTCCAGAATCCCATCTCCTCCCCGCAGGTGGGCCTGAGGGAGGAGGCCGTCCAGCTGTGGCTTCAGGCTCAGCTCTGAGGTCGGATGTCCCCCAGCACGCTCAGTCAGATGGACAGCAAGCTAGGTATAAAACCTGGGGCCGCAGGGTCTCAGCTCTGGTGTCCAGTGGCCACTAGAGGGCCCACTGGCTCTCGTTTCAGGAATGGTTCCTCAGAGGTGGGGCGGAGAGCAATGTTTACAGGCGCCTGGAGGAAGGGGGGCATTGCACACCTGTCCCTGTCTTTCCCACCACCTGTCCCTAGGTGCAGAGCAGGCCCTGGCTGTGACTCTCATCCCCTCCCCCTCCTGTCAGTCATCTGGTTTCCGTCCAGATGGCTAAGAAGGGGCAGAGATCGGGACTGTCCTCAGGACTGGACAGTACAGATCACTGGGTGGGACCTGAGAGTTGATGGCTAACATGTTGCCAGACGTTGCTGCTGAGTGTAGGATAAACGCCCCCCAAACCCACTGCCTTCGAGTCAATTCTGACTCATAGGGGCACTGTGTAGAATTGCCGACAGACCCGAGCTTTGTTAAGTCTTTGCAGGAGCAGACAGCCTCGTCCTTCTCCTGAGGCCCGGCTGGCGGGTTTGAACCACGGACCTTGCAGTTAGCAGGCCATCGCAAACCTGACAGGGCCACCAGGGCTCTAGTAAGCTTCCCAGGGCCCTGAAAACACTGAGGACTCCGGTTCTGACTTTAGAGCAAGGAGACCAGGCTCTCCCGGGTCATGCAGTCTCCTCATTTGTAGGCGACCCCGTCCAATGTATGTAGTGTTGAGTGGTTTGGGGGCAAGGACACTCACAGCAGGGGCTGCACACCTCTCACCTCAGATGCTCAGGGAGAGCTTGCTTAGTGGCTCAGAGCAAATGCAGGGGCCATAGCATGGAATGGGCCGTCCGCGCCCACCATCCTCCTCACCAAGGTGGCTCCCTGTGAGCCAGGGTTGTAGCCACTCGGTCACGCCATCTCACTGAGGGGCTCTTCCTACACCCCTTTCCTTTCCCCACCGACCCTCTACCAAACATGATGGCCTGTGTAGTGAGTGGTCTTTTGACTTTGTAGATTGCGGCCTTTCTAACCTGGCTGGTTGGCTGGGCTGCCCTGCCGGTTTGTGGAGGCAGCAGTGTGCGTGCTCTGAGCTCCTGGCTGCTCCCTTTCAGAAAGGTGGTCCCCTGGCTAGGTGCTCACACCCCCACTAGCCTGATGCTTAGTCCCACCAGCTTGCCAACTCTGACAGCCAATTAAAGAGGGGGGCAGATTCTCAGAATGCCCAGACTCTAAAATCCATGGGTGCCTCTGTGGCTTTGGCCTCCCCTCCTGCCCTTTCCTTCGGAAGCCCGCCAGTCACAGCCACTCCGGCCTCCTCGGCCTCCCTGCTTCCCGAGCACTGAGCGCTCATCTTCGGGAGAGATGTGGGAGGCACCGGGGCCGAGGCAGGAGTCCCTGGCCCTCTGTAACAGCTCCCGGTGAGCACCATGCTTCCCAGCCGGGCACCCAGACGTGGTGGTGACCCGGTGGTGGAGACAAACCCTCTTCCAGCTGGCCCTGCTATTGACCTAACGTTCTCCGCACGAGGTTCCCAGGCCGGGCTCCAGGCCTGGCTGCCAGATGGGGATGACTGAGCATCTGGCTGCCAGGAGGAGGGCCCTAGAGATAGAGTGGGGATGGGGCTGGGGGCTGGGTGAAAACTGGTGGGGTCATGGGTGCCCCTGTGGAGTGCAGAGGCTGTCCCCTCTTCCTCTGGTGGGTGCGTTATCTTGGGGGTAGAGGTGGGCTGGCCTTGTCTCTAATCTGGCCTGCACTACTTGGCCCATATCTGGAGGCAGAGACCCTCAGGAGCTGGGACCCGGTGCTCCTGGCAGGGGGTACACAGCTGTGCTCTCTGGGAGCCCCTACCAGGAGGGCTGGGTGAGGCCTGATGCCAGTCGCTGTTGCCTGCAGCCCAGGACTAATGTGGTGGGAGCAAGAGGAGCATCCCCCAGAGGCCTGTCCAGGCCCTAGCTGCAAGGATGGCTGGGCTGTGGTGGCACCTCTGAAGACCCCTTTCTTTCTTCCTTACCTCTGGCCCCTGGCTCAGATTTTCTGGGATCTGAAGGCCCAGAGCCCTGATGAGGCAGGCTTGACCTTGGTTCTAGGCCACCCTGTCCTGGCCATTTGGGGCTGGGGCTGCTCTCTGCTGCCAGCCCACGTCCCAGCCATTCCCAGGGAAAATCTGTGACCATGGGCTGGGCTGGGAGCATGTGTTGGGGACTCTGAGTCCAGTGATTATTGGTCTGACCAGAGCTAGGTGAGGACAGTGTGGGGTCAAAGAAACACAGTCCAGCCGGGAGCTCCTGGGGTACTTCACATCTGGATAGATCAGGGCGGGATTACCAGTGGGACTGGGGGAAATAAGGAGCAGTTTCAGCACTGGGTTTCGGACACCACAAGAACAGAGAACACTTTTGTTGGGAGGCCTCAGTCCCACTTTGGGAAACCCAGGGAGGGAAAGTAGTGGGCAGGCCTTAGGGATGAAAGGGGCCCTGCTGGGAGGAACCCCACCCCTCCCAGAGTTCAGCTGCATTCTGGGAGTTAGCCCCTGAGGGGGAATTTTCTTGTCTGCACCTATGAGTCTGAGGTCAGAGACCCTTAGTAACTCATAACTCACTTCATAACTCACTCACTCACCACCATTGAGTTCATTCATGCTCATCCTACAGGACGGGGTAGAACTATCCCTGTGAGTTTCTGAGACCATAACTCTTAACAGGAGGGAGAAGCCTGTCTTGTTCCCATGGAGCGGCTGGTGGTTTCGAACTGTTGACCCTGGGGATCACAGCCCAATGCTTAACCACTATGCCATCAGGGCTCCTTAGTAACTCAGCTCTCCTACTGAGATGGGAGGGCTCAGACTTCAGGAGGACACGCCTGCAGAAAAGCAGTGCCCAAGAGGCCTGCGGGTCCCTCTCTCTGCCTGGGGTCCCACTCTGGCTTCTGGGACATTGTGGGGGGCTTGGCTTCAGGGAGTGAGTGGCCTTGTCTTGCCCTGAGTCTGGACACTTTAAGCCCAAGGGGCAGCCTCTACTGCTCTGAGCAGCTGCTGCACGGCCTCTGGGGTTCAAGGCAGCTGGGAGAAGGGGATTGGTCTGGGTGGGGGGTGAAACAGCCAGGACAGTGGTGTGGGTATGGGTGGGGCATAGGGAGAAGTATATGGTCTTGGTGGGGATCAGACTTGGGGTCTGGGACCCTGGGGCCAGGAGGACCCTCACAGGGCTACTGTAGGGAGCAGCAAAGGCTCTGAGAGAGCAGAATGGGGTGATGGGGGCGAAGGGGTGCCTGCAGGCCGCAGTAAGGCACCAGACCAGGAAAGTCTCCCCAGGGGACTCCTCTCTGACTGGGAAGGGGAGGACCCTCAGAGCTTTCCAGATCTGGAAGCAATACAGCTGCTGCTGCTGGAGACAGGCTGGCCTGAGGTTCTGCCCCAATGCTTGGAGGCAGTGGGAGGCTGCCTACCCAGAGGCTCCCCCCACCCCCGGGGCCCCCAGGAATGCACGGGGAGGGAGGGTCCTGGAATGTACCTCCCTTAGACTACTCAGCCAGTTTGTTGTCAGAGGCAGTGACAGTGAGGAGCCCTGGCGGCACTGTCCGGCAAACACTGGACTGCTGACCATTGGGTCCAAGGTTCAATCCCACAAGCTGCTCCTCGGGGGAGAGAGGCTGACTGCCCTTGTAAAGAGGTGCCAGGGCAGTGGGTATGGATTCCTAGGTGTGATCCAGATGAGAGCAGATGGACAGGCTTCTCTCCCAGGAAGCAGCTGGTGGAGTTGAACCACAGACCTTTCGGTTAGCAGCCTCCCAATTGGCCACTCTCTCTATACACCAGGCTGTCCTCGTGTTGGAGGCGAACGGTCAGGCTGACCGCCTTCTCTGTGAAGGCAGGACCTGCCCAGGCCTGAGTCACCCTGATGGAGGCCCCATGGGGAGGGGTGCAGATCCTGCTTAGAGTTAGGTGACCAGATGTTAACATTGGTAAAGCGGGACACCATTGATAAAACTCCTATCCTGGTGAAATAGCCACATGGCAGCCGAAAACCATATACCCTAGCTTGTCGTGCATTCTTTCCAAAAATCGGGACTTTTAAAAAACGCCATGGGATGCGGGGGGAAAAATGGTTAAAAATCGGGACTGTCCCGCCAAAAGCGGATGTCTGGTCACCTTTGCTTAGAGAGGAGGAGGCAAAGAGGTGGCACAGAGGGAGGTGCGGGCTGTGGGCTCACTCTGGTCCCCTGAGGTCACATCCCCTTGAAGTTATAGACCTGGGGTTCTCCTGCAGGGAGAGGTGTCCCCTTCTGTCAACCATCTGTGGAGAGAGAGGCCTAGGTAAAAAAAAACCACACAAAACTAAACCTAAACTCACTGCCATGGAGTCGATATTGATTCAGTGACCCCCTGTGGGCTGTCACTGTTTACAGGAGTAGAAAGCCCAGTTTTTCTCTTGAACTGCTGGTGGTTTCGAACTGTGTACCATGCTGGATGTCAGTGCAACTTGTAACCACTACTCGGCCACAGAAGCCCAGGTGGGGCTGGGAAATGAGGGCGGTAGTGCCTGGCTTGGCCAGAGAGGGCGCTGGGGGCCAATTTGGCTTGGGAGAGTCTGTCTTTGAAGCCTGCTGCTGGAGGTCAAGTTCAGATTGCTGCCTTTTACACCGTGTTTCTCCTCCTGGCCTTTCCTCATCGTCATCAAGCCTTGTTCAGGGACCTAGCTCCGCTCTGGGGGTGCTGAGTGACCTTAGGAGAAGGCTGGAGGGGTGTCAGCACCATTAGTAAGGGAGGGGATGCTGAGGGGAGGGGAATCTTGGGAACTTTGGGGCTGGCAGTTCTACAGAGGTCATGGGAACGGAGACCCTTATGGTGAATAGTGTTGGGCTCGGGTCACCTCAGGGAGGTGGGGGCTGCAGACAGCACCCTGCCCCCTCGCCCCAGGATTCTCCCTCCACTGTTACCTCAAAGGATCCGGGAGAGTCTCCCGAGGGGAGAGCCCAAGGCCCCATTGGAAGCTTGCCCTTCAGAGCCATCAGTTGTGGAGTCTGTCACCGGGAGATACTGCAGAAACTTCCCCGGCAGCAGGGTGCCTGACTTACAGACCTCACCTTGCTTTGTTCCTAAAAGCACTGTCACTGGTTTGATAACTAACCTGTTTCCAAGCATCCCTCCCGCCCTCCAAGGCCTAACTAAGCCTGGGCACTTGGCATAGAAGGGCATGCCCTCAGCACTCCCCATGGCCAGTTTCCAATACATGTGGACCATGCAGTGTTTCATGTGGGCTCCTGGATGGGGATAGGGGCAGTGGGAAGAACCTCGTCTAATACGTCAGGGCCATGAGGCAGGTATGTCCATGTCCACAAACTGAAATGACCAACGGAGCCGCTTACCCAGAACTATCTTATTGTGGACATGACTGGGAGGATCAGTCGCTGGCCAGTGACCATCAACGCACCCATGGGCTGAATTTCCCATCAATGAAGCCTCTCAAGGCCTAGAGGCCTGGTGGCCCAGTGGGTTACTCATGGGTCGGTGGTTCAAACCCTCCAGAGTCTCTGCAGGAGAACGATGAGGCTTTCTACTCCCGTAAAAAGTTACAGTCTGGGAATCCCACAGGGGCAATTCTTCTCTGTCCTACACGGTAGTTATGGGTCAGAACTGACTTGATGGCAAAGAGTTTGGTTTTGTTTTTAGTGGTATAGTGGGTTATGAATTAGGCTTCTAACCACAAGGCCAGCAGTTTGAAACTACCAGTTGCTCTGTGAGAGAAAGATGAGGCTTTCTACTCCTGTAAAGAGCTACAGTCTAAGAAAGTCCCAGGGACAATTCTGTCCTATCTTAGAGGGTTGATATCAGTGGGCTTCGACTCAATGGCAGTGGGTTCTAGGAAAGAGGAGCGGTTTGTAAGGCAGGGACTTCAGTGCCTCAAGGTGATGCCTAACAAGGAGAGCCAGTGGGAGAGCCTGAGAAAAGGCCCAAACCTTTAGGTCTGACCCTGGAGTTGAATATCGGGGCCTTCTGGGGTCTCTGATGCCCGCGAGCCACAGGTTTTGCTATCACACAGAGGCTGGGCCTCAAGTCCACTTCTCACCAGTCGCACTTCCCTGACCTGGGTGGCTCACCTATAAACTACGTGCATCGCTCCACCTCCCTGGGGGAGTGTAGGGAGCAGAGTGGAGGGCAACTCTAGGGGACAGAGCCGGCTTCCCAGAGGCTGTGATTTCATGGAGCCCTGGTGGCACACTGGTTAAAGTGCATGGCTGCCCCTGGAAAGGTCCGTGGTTGGAACCCACCAGCTGTTGCCTGGGAGAAAGACGTGGCAGTCTGGCCTCTCAAAAAGACCGTGGCCTCAGAAACTCTAGGGGGCAGCTCAGTCCTGTCCTGTTGGGTGCTTGTGAGTTGGGTCTGGTTGCTGTTAAAACACACACACCCCAACCCCCCACCCCCCGAAAATCAGCTCACTGCTTTTGAGTTGATGGCCCCTCAAAGTGACCCCATAGGCCCAACGTTTGTGAAATACAAGGGCTGCACTCCACTGGAGATCTTGGAACTGGGGGGCTATGGACCCCGGGATTAACAGTGGGGGGTGGTGGGGGGTGGAGTTGGGCCATGCCCTGGGACCCGTGTCTTAACCAGAACGGCTTTTCTCTTCATCCTCATAGATGCGCTAGACCTTGGGGTTCCATCTAATCCTTGTGCTAGAGAAAGCTGTTAATATCCCATCCCCGGACCTGGCCTGGCCTCGCCTCCTCCTAGCCATGACCTAGTATAGGATCCACTTGTCACGCGGCGCCTCCCCCGGCCCCGCCCCACCCCGCCCCCACTGCGCACCTGGTGAAGCGGACCTCGCAGATGTTGCACATGTATGGCTTCTCCCCAGTGTGCGTCCTCATGTGCCGCGGCAGCTTCCCTGCCCCCATGATGACTTTGTGGCAGATGGGGCACTGCTGGGAGGCCTTGGGCTTCAGCTTGCGCTCCTCCCCCAGCGGCCAGGGCGGGAAGAGCCCGCCCAGGTGGGTGGCACTCAGGAAGTTGAGATAGGCACCATAGTCGTTCTCCGCCTTGATGGGGCCCAGCGGGCCCGTGGGAAGGTCGGGGAACATGTCTTTGAAGAAGTCGCTGGGGAAGGGCGGGGGCGGGGCCGGGGGCAGCTCCTCCTTCTCCTCCTCTTTGATCTTCCGGTTCTTGATGACCAGGTCCAGGGGCCCGCCGTCCAGGGGCTGCTCGGGCAGCTGGGCCAAGGCACCGAAGTCCCCGGGCCAGAGGTGTGGGAAGAAGTCCGGGGCGAACGGCGAGAGGGAGGGCCGCCCGTCGGGGATGCTCGCTTTGGGGTACAGGTTCTCCCTCAGCAGGGACTCGATGGAGAAGTCCCGGATGACCCCCAGGTGGTCGGGGCTGCCCGCCGGGAAGGGGCCAGGGAAGTCCCGGGGGGCGTCGGCGAAGGCCTTCTCCGCGAGGTGGTCCGTCTTGGAAGGGCTTTGGTGGCAGTTGATGTCCTGGGCGTCCGGCAGGTTCTCTTGGTCTGCGAAGTCTTCCGTGTCGTCGTCGTCGTCGTCGTCCTCCTCCTCCTCTTCCTCCTCCTCCTCCTCTTCCTCCTCCTCCTCGTCCTCCTTGTCCTCGGCGCCGCCGGCCCCGCCGGGCGCCATGATCTCCAGGCACACGTTCACGACGCACGGGATCTCCAGCAGCCGGGCGGCGTTCAGGATGTGCTGCACGTTGGCCGCGGTGATGGTGAGCGTGGAGGTGTAGGCGAACTCCAGGATGGCGGCCAGCGCCTCGGGCTGCACGAAGTCGATCTCGTAGACGTGGGGCTGGCTGGCCAGGGTCCCGGCCGTGAAGAGCTTCTGGAAGTACTTGCTGCAGGCGGCCAGCACGGCGCGGTGCGTGCGGTACTCCTGCTCCTGCGCCACCAGCAGCACGTCGCACAGCAGCCCGTCCTGCCGCTGCTGGTTGAGGCTGCCCAGCACCTCGCTGCTGTGGTTGGGGAAGGGGATGCCGATGAGCTCGTCAATGCCATGGGCCATGGTCTCCGCCCGAGCCCTGCTGGATGGACGAGAGGGAGACCGAGGTGAGATAGAGCGGGCACCCCTCTCCCAGGCGCACATGCCTGCGTCCCTCTGTCCATCCATCTGGGGACGGGCCCCTCCCTCCCTTCCAGGGCGGCGGGCCTGGCCACCTGGAGCTGGCCTGGGGCGTCTCCATCACCTCTCTGAGGCTGGCATCCCTAGACGGGGGACCCCTTACCCTTGTCACGCACGCCCCCTTGGGCCTGAAAAATCGACAACACACTTCTGATGTGTTACTCATTTGCATCACAGTTAGGAGCCCTGGTGTCAAAGTGGTTATACTTTGGGCTACGAACCCACAAGGTTGGCAGTTCCAAACCACCAAGCTGCTCACAGGAGAGAGACAAAGATTTTTACTCCTGTAAAGAAAAGCTACAGTGGACCAATTGGTTAGCGCATGGTACTTATAAGGCAAAACAAAGCTTTTTACTCCCGCAGAGTTGCAGTCTTGCAAACTTGCAGGAGCGGTCCTACCCTGCAGGGTTGCTATGAGTCTGTTCCACCTGATGGCAGTGTTTGGTTTGGGTTTAGTAACATAAGCTTTATTTACATCTTTGATAGCTACAAACAGAACTTTACGAAATACATATATATGTATATGATATATACACACTATATATACTCATAGAGACCCTATAGAATAGGGTAGAACTATCCCTATGGTTTCCAAGACTATAATTCTTTATGGGAGTAGAAGTCTCATCTTTCTCCCATATATATATATATATATATGCATATGACATTAAAAGTTGAATTAAAGTGTGAGATTAAATTAAATCAATATTAAACTATGGAGTTTTCCACGACTTTTTTGAAGGCCCCTCCTATATTGACAAACAACAACAGCAACAACAATTGAACTGCTTTGTGGCCATTGCACATTCAGAAGCATTTTGCTACTGCCAAAGTTTGGGGAGCCTCACATTCAGATAGGAGTTGTGACCCACGGTTGAAGCAGCTTTGCTCTAAGCTGCTGTGGCCAGAGTGGCCCTGCCGCTTAGTACCCTGGGCCTCTGCTTCTGGCCGGCCCCTCCTCTTGAAGACCAGCCCTCCTGCCCTTTGGCTGTTCCAAACCACTACCACAACCCAGGTCAAACCAGGTGCTATCCCCTGAGACACTGGGCTCTTTGCTCGGACCCCTGACGCCTGGGGAGCTGTGCTTCTCACTGGGGAGCTGGCGGGTGCTGGTCAGCAGAGCTTCTGGAGACTTGAAAGGTGACCTCAGTGACGTCTGCTCTGCTGCTGTGCACTTGCGCGTGCCCTGGGGACCACAAGGAACAAACCATCCCAGTGCTGTGGAGTTGACTCCAGTTCATAGCGACCTTGTAGGACGGAGTAGAACTGCCTTTAGGGGGTTCTGAGACTGGAACTCTTTATGGGAGCAGAAAGCCCCGTCTCTCTCCTGCAGAGGAGCTGGTGGTTTTGAACTGCTGACCTTGGGTTAGTAGCCCAACGCATAACCACTACACCAGCAGAAAGGACCAGTCACAGGCAATTCAAATACTATGTTTGCTACAGGACCATGTCCATCAGTAACACAGCGCTCGCAGGTCAAGGGCCAATATGGAGGCTCCCCAGGGCTGGGGATGCTTGCGGGGCAAATGGGTCCTTTCACAAAGCCTGGGACTCCTCTGACAGACTAACCTTCCACATGGCCACGACCACGAAGCCAGGCTTCAGGAAGAAGCATGCTGCATCGGGATTGGAGGACGGCCCATTACCGCCTCTGATACGCAGACAACAAAACACTGCTCGCTGAAAGCGAGGGGATTTGAAGCGCTTACTGATGAAGAACAAAGCCTTCGGTATGGATTACGCCTCACTCATAGCGGCTCAAGGAAAACGAAAACCCTCACCACTGAACCAATGAGCCGAAGTGTTCATTTTACCTGGATCCACAACCAGCACCCACGAAGCAGGGGAGTTCTGCTGCTTTAAAAAAGAAGTCACTTTGAAGACTAATTGCACCTGACCTGACCTGATTTAAGACACTCACTCACTCACTCACTCACTCACTCACATAAACACACACGTGCTGTGTTTTAAACTTTTCATTGTGACTTGGGTGAAGGTGTACACAGCGCCTCGCCCATTTCACACTCAACAATGCAGATATCTTGTGTCTGAGGTCTTCCACTGCCATCCTTTCAGTGCACAGCCACGCACCCCATGTGCTCCTGGGTTTTCTGTTCCCATTCCTCCTCCGTCCTACACCCTATGGACTTTGTCTTTGGGTGAAGGTTGTCATTTTGGTCGTACATGGTTGGCTACTGTCACGGATGAGTTCTGTTCCAGGCCTACAGGATGATTAAGGGCCACAGTCTTGGGGGTCCCAGCAGTGTCTCGCTGACCCGGCAGCCAGATCTTTTATGACTTTGTGTTCTGTCTCACATTTTTATCCTCTTTACCCCAGACTTTCCAATGTGATCGTTTGTAGAGCAGTTGTTGGTGGCGGCTGGGCTCCATAAAGCCAGCCATGTTTTCCATCACCTCTTAATTCAGGCCCAAGCTGGACAATGAACAAGGAAGGCTGGAGGATCAATACCTTTGGGCTATGGTGGTGGCGAATATGAACGGTGCCTCGCAGACTTCCATGCATCTGAAGGAACAGATCTGTATTGGAGGCAGCACAGCCAGCATGCTCCTTAGAGGGGAGGAGGGGAGACTTCTCCTCACCTACTGCGGACACGTTATCAGGAGGGTCAGTCCCTGGAGAGGGCACCACGCTTGGTAAAGCAGTAGTTGTTGTAGGTGCCATGAGTTGGTTCCGACCGATAGCGACCTTATGTGTAACAGAAGGAAACACTGCTCAGCCCTGCACCCCGCTAAAATTGTCCCTGTGCCTGAGCCCATTGTTGCAGCCACTGTGTCACCCCATCGTGTTGAGGGTCTTCCTCTTTCCACTGCCCCTCTGCTTTACCAAGCACGATGTCCTTCTCCAGGGACAGTCTCTGCTGACAGCTTGTCCAAACACGTGAGAAGTCTTGCTGCCCTTGCCTCTGAGGAGCATCCTGGCCGCGCTTCTTCCGAGATGGATTTGTTTGTTCTTTCGTGGCCCACGATGCTTTCAAAGTTCTCTGCCAGCACCGGGATTCACATCCATCACCCTCATGATGGTTCCTGTGATCGAGCCCATCGGCCTCTCTCCTGGAGGGCCTTCTTCTTTTCCTGCTGTCCCTCTGCTTCACCGAAGGTGATGTCCTTCTCCAGGGACTGGCCTCCCCTGGAGAGGGGCAGAGAAACAGAGGAAGCTCCTCAAGGGCTTGACACATGGGCTTCAGGAGGAGCCTGGTGTGGGACCGGGTGGGGACAAACAGCTACAGCATTCTGTTACCCCTTATGGAAAGATAAACCTCTGGGGAGATGCCCTTTCAGAGATGCCTTATGAGAATCCCAGGTGACCTGAGGCCAGTGACAGCCACTGAGGAGGGGCAGGGCCAGCAGCGCATCACCAGGCATCCCCTCCCTGCCGGAGTGGGGACAGCCTACCCACAGCGGTTCCCTTAGAAGGAACCCTCCACCTGAGTCAGCACCATCCACCCGCACAAAAACCCAACTCCATTTTTGTTGTTGTTCCCATGTGTGGAGGGTCCGTCTGCTCATGACTAAGTTTGACCCTGGCAGTGGCTGAGTCCGAGCAAAGGCCTGGCCCTCAGCATGGCGCACTTACAGTGAGGAGGCATGAGGAGGGAAATAAAGCCCCACAAAGGCGCCCTGGGGATGGCCAACCGACCATCTTCTGAGTACGTCCTCCTTGAGCAGACAGGTGGGGGGGCGGGGGTGGGGGAGACCGAAAGGGCCCTGGCGGCTTCCTGGGAGATGGTCACGTGAAAGAAGCACAGTAAAACCAATTGTTGATTGGAAGTTAGATGCATCGTCTAATTCCCACAGGGATGCCTCATGGGCAGCAGCAGGGGCCTGGGCCCTTGGAGGGGCCTCCTTGTCTGCAAGTGGAATGACCCTCAGACCATTCAGTTAAAAAGCCAAAGGTAGGAAAAACTTGAGGAAATTAGCTGTCTGAGGAGAGTCCCACTTCCTAGGGCAGATTTCTTGAAAGACAACCAAACGGGAAAACCCAAGTCTTCCCCCAGCCGTCACGCCCGACTGGTGTCCTGGAGCAGAGCTGCTCCTTAGGGTGGACGAGGCTGTGTGTCAGGGGGAGGTTGCCGGGCACTTCTTCTGCAGTGCCTCCGGGTGAGTCTGACAGCCCTTAGTCTGGCCGTCCAGCACAGGCCATTAGCGTGGGGACATCAACACTGCCCTCAAACGCTTTCCAGGACAAACCGCCACACATTTCTCAAGTGCCTCCTTTTTGATTAAAAGGAGGAGATGGACCCAGTTAGGCCACGTGTCTGGGGGGACCGCCAGCTCTCAGAGGAAAGGGCAGTCTGGGCCCGGCATTGGAGATGGGGATCAGTAGCTGTGTGGCCTCGGGGGGCCCCGCCGCCTCTCTGGTTTCTGTTTCCTCACTCTGAGTGGGGGAGGAGACGCAAGAAGCATTTCATCAGACATTACGCTGGATGGCTGCTCACTCCTCCTGTGACCTTGGGGAGTTGAAGCACAAGGTGAGCTGTGGCCGTGCAGAGGTGGCCAGACCCGGGGCGCGGGAGCCCTGTTCCTGGCTGGGTCTTGGTTTGCAGGCTTTGTTCCCCTGGTGGAGGGACAGCTGTGAAGCCACAGTGGGGTGAGGGGTGGTCAGCACCGGGGGCTGCCGTTTGCTAGTGGTCAGAGGCTGCAGCCTGGAGCTTTCCCGAGACCCTGAGATTCCTGGGCCCTGGAGGGCGTGGCAGCATTGGCTCCAGGGGGGTGTCCTGCTCCCTTCTTCCCCAGAGCTCCAGCCTCCATGCTGGGGTGGGTCTATCAGCAAGCGCAGCATGCTCAGAACACACACCTTCTACACACACACACACACACACACACAC